CCCCAAAACCCCAAAACCCCAAAACCCCAAAACCCCAACCATAACTCAAGGAATTGAAATATCAAAGTGGAGATAAATTTCGCTAACTCATTATGCAATTAAATCCACAATTTCGTCAAATTCTGTTCTTGAGATTTTTGGACAAATCTGAAGGCCTTCAGGGATTGAGATTAAGCAAGAGCCAGTGAGCTTGAAAGAGTCAAGGTTTAGACTATACAGAAGCTTTCTGAGTCTATTTCTGGTGTGTTCGTCAAATTTCTTCAAATCGGAATTGTCTATTTTTAGAGATAAATCTGTGATCTTAAGCTTCAAGCATGAGAGGAGGGGGTTGAATGACTTTCTCATGCAACCTCCAATGAGTTTAACCCCTTGTTTAAAGGTAAAATCTTTGAGTTCATCTACTAGCTCTTGTCTGTTCTTAAATAAGGAGAAATCCTTCTCTGTAAACTCAAATCTTTGGACCTTCTTGTAGATGCTGCTCTCTTTGATAGAGGTTTCGCCAATACAGTAAACTTGATCTTTTAGAGTCCACATAGTTTCACATTCTGATACCAAGGAGATAAAGTCGCATTTGATGAATGCAGTTTCTTCTAGTTCTTCAATAATATCAAGTCTATCTCTGTATAGGATATCTTCGCTGCATCCTACTTTGCATAGAGGTTTAGAAAGTAAGTTATTGCAAAACTTTGAGAAGCCTTCATGACTTGGCTCATTCCTTCCAGAAGTTCTTAAGAATTTGCATCAAGACTTTGGAACTTGGATGTAACCATCTGGCTCATAAGCTCTCATGATATAGCCATATATCTCTACTCTGTCTGCTTGGAAAGCTTGCAAAGAGTTAGAGGAGCTATCATAATAGTAAACCTCAATCAGATTCTTTTCGTCAAAAGAATTCGCTAAATTTCCTTCATCAATTATACAAAGTGGGTGACTGCTGTTCTTATAGAGATCTTCCTTCTCGTACCATGAAGGAATGCAAGAGTTACTTATGCTGGGGCTGAATACTTCCTCCAGCCTCACCTGTATCAAGTCTCCGAAGATATATTGATATAGACTATTTTCACGCAAAGTTTCTCTTTTATACTTTTCAGTAGATTCGCCATGGCGATTTTCAGGATTTCTTACTTTGACAGTTCAGAATTTGACTATTCTCCTTAATTTATTGTGGATGTCATCTTTAATGTCTATATCTAAAAGCTCTCTGATTAATTCTTCTGGAAGGATCAGCTCTGTAATGATTCCTTTTATCTTCTTAACATGGATATCAAGTTCTCTTATGGAAGTTATCTCTAGTTTTACCTCCTCCTGATAATTTTTAAAATCTGAAACAAATCCATTCACTATTGGAGTGGAGAACCTTTGATGCTCAAGTGGTACTCTGGATCAATTTTGGTAGTGAAAGGATTTCAACCCCAAGGAGTATCTTGTGACGAACCTTATGCATGTGGTATCAAAACTCTTAAGAACAAGAGTATCTAGCATCTTTTCTATCAGTTTCTTATCAATTTTGCTATTTACTGAAGGAGGATAAAAATCTATTACCCTCTTAGATTTTTCTCAGACTACCACTGGAATATTAATTTCTCCAAAGCTAAGCACCTCAGAGTCTGAAAAATCGTCCAAGAATTTGATAAACTTAGAGATATCCTTATTCTTATCAAGTTGTAGCGATACCTTGAACTTAGAGTTTATCAATGAGAATGTTGATGGAACTGTTGCCATATCATTAGTTATTCTTGTGAGTTCTTCAGCTGTATTTTCATCAAAGCCGTGGTAGTAAACCAAAGTTTCTTCAAAGGCATGCTTGAATGCTTTCTCATTATCTTGAAAGCATTTCCTGCTCTCTCTTGACAGCCTAGTCATTAGCCGTAATGCCTTGCTGAAGTTGCCATAGTAAGACAAGATATGGACTCAATTACTTAATTGCTCAAAGACTCTAATTTTCTGTGGCGAATTCATTTAATTATTAAATAATCCATGAAATTTATCAATTTATCGCCAAGGGATGGGGTTTTGGGGTTTTGGGGTTTTGGGGTTTTGGGG